AAAAAAAAAAAAAACTTTATTAATTTTGCAAGTCGTGATTTTTCTTTCAATAAATGCTGGGGAAGTTTTCAATCCCGGAACTGCAAAACTCATCCCTTATCAGGTATAACATGAGTCATGACTCATGACCACCAAGAGTTGACCTTGCCGTTCAATGGTCAGAGCAGAAGACATTGCTTCATATGTTGGCTATTTTATTGGAAGGAGCAAGTAAGTTAGAGGAAATGGGAATTAACGTTGGACTAGGATGGTTTCTTTCATTAGTGTTGCTGAAATCTTACTGGAAAATTGCCTCAATCACGGTCGTTATAAAATTAATAACCGACGGTTTTTCTGGTTTTTGAACGACATAGAATTAGTAGTAATCATTTGTTCCATGTCAAAATCCATTGGACAATTTCAAATATATAACAGATGCTGTTCAATTGAAAAATATTACATTACGTGATTTACTTTCCAAGTTAAAAATTACGTGCAGTAGTGACCATTAAAATGATGCTGATGATTTAGTAGGGTGCTTACACGCAACAGTAATCTGCTTAAGTTATTGGGCTGACGGCTCAATTCAGACAACCTGCGAACAGTTTCTAGATAAGAGAAAAATTCAATTCGATAATTTCAAAAACGTGCGGTTAAAGGAATAAGAATTAGGATTTCTATTATGTCCAAAGAAAAATTCTTCCATATATGGATGTTATTATATTAGCGGTATTGATATGGTCGGTCATATATCAATCTGTGGTTTTTTTTTTTTTAATAATTAAAAAATTAATTTATTAAGAAAATAATTCAAAAACAATTTTCTTATATCAAGTTTTAATATAATTTTACAATTATTTAAATAATTAATTTTTTTATTTGTTTAGAATATGTGATATTAATTGTATCTATTCATGTAATAACATATAAGTTATATAAAAAAATTTTACAAAAAAAATTATTTTTATGTCACTGACCAATTTGTTATATTTCAATTGATTATTTAATTACAAGTGAGAACCATACATGTTGATATAGCTATGTTAGTGGATGAATATATGTGTTATCTTTGTTACAAGGAATAATTTCTCTCTATGCTGGTGCTATAGGGACAATCTTTTTTTTTCCCTTTTTGTTTTATTTTTCTCTTTTTATGTGTATGTGTGTTTTTTATCTCGCGTGTTTCATATGTATAAACACCTCTTATTTTTTATGTGATGTCTCATTTTGTAAAAAAATATTTATATAAAATAATTATCCCAAAATCATTTCCCTTCTCTCAAATTGGAGTCTTTCTTCAAACAATGAACTGCTCTTTCCAATCCCTGCAAGCCACTACAATATGATCAAACATTTTCAACATATCAATAAGATTGTAAAAGGAAAGACCGCTGTCATTCAATTCAATCCATGGACCGGTTCAGCGTCTTTATTTATGGATAATCAAGCAATCATAATGTTAATTATCAATCCCTTTCTATAATCAACTTCTTAGTTTCTCTCTCTTTTTCTTATTTTTATTTTAATTTTTTTCCTTTTTTTATGGTAATGTCAATGCTTCCAAGAAAAAGGCATGGTTAAAGTAGAGAACGTTCGGACCACAAGCAATGTAAGCAGAAGAAACTGATATAGATAAACATAACAGGAAACTTCTCCAGAAAATTCAACAGAAGAAGAAAGGAGTTTTCGTTTCTTTTACCTTTTCATTTCTACAAAAGGATCTAGATTCATATAGATATATATTTTCCCCCAAAACCCAAGTTCAACATCAATCTCTTTCTTTGAATTCAGCCAAGTTTGTTCATTTTCAGAAGCTGGATTAAGTCGGTGAGAATGGATCGAGGGAAATCCGTGGAGGGGGATGGAAGTGTTCGTTTACAGGTTATGGAGTTGAGGAGGATAAGTGAAACCTGTGGTTCAAACACCAAGTTTGAGCCTCAGAGCAGTTTGGAGAAGAGAGGAAGCAATGCAGAGTCTGTTTGTTTGACAACATCAAAATCGGTCATCCGTGCCCCAGAAACGAAGCTCACCCTTTTTGCTCTCCGCCTCTCAATCTTTGAGAAGGCGGCTACTGGCTTGGGAACTCTAGGATTCATCTGGGCCACGGTGGTTCTTCTGGGTGGTTTTGCCATCACCTTAGACAAAACCGACTTCTGGTTCGTTACCATCATTCTATTGATTGAAGGAACTAGGATTTTCAGCAGAAGTCGTGAACTTGAGTGGCAACACCAGGCTACCTGGTCGATTGCTGATGCCGGAATCAGCAGTTTCCGAATGCTGAGATCCAGCTCTCATGTCGCTGTTAGGAAGTTGAAATCCATTTTCACCCCCATTCCCAATACCAGAAAACAGAGCCAACATGGCAGAGAAATAGCAGCAGAGAATAATTCTGCAAAAACCGGAAGCTCTAATTATCCAACAACCCCAACAACTACAAGAACATGGATCTGTTCAGATGTTCCTCTTCTTCCTTATGGACAATGGATGTTCCTTTCCAGAAACGTCAGCAGGCTTTTGCATTGGCTTCAGCTTCTGTCAGCGGTAGCCTGTGTTGTTCTCTCATCAATGAAGCTTATAATGCGTAACTATGGAGATGTTCAGAAGGGAGAAACAGATAAGAGAAACCGGAAATCTGCTCTTAACATTTTTTATGCTCTGGCATTAGCTGAAGCTCTCCTGTTTCTGATGGAGAAAGCTTACTGGGAATGGAAGGTGATATACTGCAAGCTCCTGGACGAAGTGAATAGCGAGTGTGAGTTAGGGCCTTTGGGTTTGGTTTCCACCAGGAAGTTTTTCTATGATGCTTACTCAAGATGTATCAATGGAAGTATATTTGATGGGTTGAAAATGGATATGGTGAGCTTTGCAATGGATCTCCTGAGTTCAAATTCCCCCGATGAGAAGCTTGTTGGAGTTAGAATTCTCCGGCAGTTTGCATTCAGTGAGCGGTTCTCCCAAGATACTTTACAGAAGATTGGGATAAACCTGTCTGTGGTGGAAAGTTTAGTAGAGATGTTGAACTGGAAAGACCCAGAAGAGGAAGAGATCAGGAAATTGGCAGCCGACATACTGTCAAAGCTGGCCTCAAAGAAGCAGAATGCTCTTCGTGTTGCTGGAATACCGGGAGCTATGGAGTCCATTTCATCTCTGCTTCACACCAACAGAAGTTCTTGTGATGCAGCTGATGAAATTGGAGGGAAGAAGCTTGTCTCTGATCATGCAGGTTATGATTACTGGACGTTTAACCATTTAGGCCTTCTCATTTTAAAGAAACTCGCCCAGGATCATGATAACTGTGGGAAGATTGGGAACACCAGAGGCCTCCTACCCAAAATAATAGATTTGTCACATGCTGGAGAACGGCTGCTGAGAGATGAAAGTGTCACACGATCTCAGATCCTGACAGTGAAAAGATCTCTGCAACTGCTGAAGATGCTGGCAAGCACAACGGGGTCAACAGGGAAACATCTCCGGAAAGAGATATCTGAGATAGTGTTCACAATCAGCAACATTAGAGATATTCTACACTATGGAGAAAAACACCCCATGCTGCAGACACTAGGCATAGACATACTGACCAATCTAGGGTTGGAAGAGGAAGCAAAGGAGAGAATTGGGGGCACCGGTGGAGTTCTCAAGGAATTGTTCAACATCTTCTTCAACCAGGGGATTCCAGAGTGTCAGAATCATGTGAGGACTGCTGCAGGAGAGGCATTAGCAATGCTGGCCTTAGAAAGTAAAAGCAACTGCCACAGAATCTTGAAATTAGATGTATTGAAAAGGCTCAATAGAGCACTGGAAGTTCCATTACTTCGCGTGAATGCGGCAAGAATCCTAAGAAACCTGTGCTCCTACAGCGGAGCAGAATGCTTCAACCAGCTGAATGGGATTGGAGCTGCAGCACCAACAGTAAGTGCTAAGTTTTTTCCTAAAGTATCCACAAATTATGTTACGAGGAGAGCAATCCACCTGATGATATTCATACTCTCTTCCACTATTGTTGCAGGTGCTCAGTGCGGTAATGTCTCAAGAGAACAAACTTCAGGAAGTAATGGTGGGGCTAGCAGCACAACTGTTCAAATTCATAACTTCTGAAGAATCAAGCATGATTTTCCAGAAAGCTGGAATTACAGAGGAAGAGTTAGCTTACAAATTACTCCAGATTCTGAGGCAGCACTATAATCCATCAGCTAAAGTTCCGAGAATGAGGAGATTTGCCATAGAGTTGGCAATCTGTATGATGCGCAGCAATGCGAAAAACATACTTGTTTTTGAGGAACAGGGGATGGAGAAAGAGCTGGAGGGTGTTCTGGAGACCACATCAGAGCTTGAAAGCTTCAGGGTTTTCTCTGGCACAGTGGGGCTCAGCCGGCACAGCATACCAATTCACTCCCTAGTTGAAAATGCATTGAAGCAACTTAAGGAAAGGTGAAAGAGATGCAAAACATGCACTTCACATCTGCAAATACCACTGCAAAAGTTCTAATGATTGATCTAGTAAATAAGCAATCATGAGCATTTCCTTTTTCTCTAAGCAATAACCATGTCAATGGAACTGATTTAACTTATTCTAATAATGACTTAATAAATGAATTTCCTTTTTCAGTGAAGATTCTTAGTGCCTTCTACTTCATCACTTTAATAGTTTTCAAAGATTTTAGATTGCTAAAAGGAGGAAAGTGTTTCATTATTGGGAGTAAATTGTTCCTTCGTCAAAAATCAATTCACCCATTTGTTCCAGAACAAGAACGGATCATCATAAACCAAACAAAAGAGATGCTTATTCTACTAGGTTGTCAAACCCAATATCCGCTATGCAGAAACATAATGAATTATCCACACACACACAACAAAAAAAAAAAAAAAATAGAGCCACTCCTAAAAGAACATCAAAACCACCATCATCCCCAAATCAGTCAATAAAGCTATGCTTAGTGAGACGTGATTACCTTGATAGAGTCAAAAGAGATGCAAAAGCACAAGTTAGAAGAAGCAGAAGAAATGGAAAGTAGATATTCTGAACTCCCGTTTCTGTTAACAAGATTTTTAAGAGAAAATATGTGGGGAAAGAATGAACGTCACCGAGTCAGGAAGTAGAGGAGAAAGGCTTTTATAAAGGGTGACAACATACAAATGGATGAGTAACATTACCTTCTGCTACCCCAGTTTTCCCCTTATCCCTCAAATTTGGCCTACATTATGGAACAATAGCAAATTTTGTTCACACTAATTGTAAGATATATTAGCATCCAATTCCATACAATCAATCAAATAACTTTAATACTCTCAACTCACTGCAACTCCGTCCATGGCAATGTAAGATTGTTTACAGTAGAAATGATAATGAAATCATTTGCAAAGAAATTGAAGACAGTGCCAATAAAATCACCTTAATACAATCACGGCACCCATTTTTTCCCCTTTTTTTTTTTTCTCTCTTTCTTCTCTCTATTTTTTTTTTCAAGCCATTTCACGACACAAATTTCTAAAAAGTTACAAAAAGATACATAACAAGAATGATTCAAACTAAGCGTCTTTTATCTTCATCTACCATTTCGAAAAAAGTTGAGATCCCAACGACGCATCAAACCATCCATGATGTTGTTTGTAGGATTCCGTTCAACTGTCAAAGTTGCTTTTGTATTAGCTAACATGTCGACATCTGATGAACTTTGAATGTTGGCTGAGGTATCACTTAGAGAGGAACTGCCTGTGCTCCCTGATTCAATGGTGGATTGAGTATCAGATACAGGTCCAATACTTGACGCACTTGAATCATGAGATATTTGCTCAGAGGTGATTTTGGGGCCATTAGTTACTGCTGTGGTAACAGTCTCTGGTGACTGGCACTCTACTAAAGTGGCGGCGGATTCTGATTTTGAGGGACCCTGCTGTTCTGTTGTGGAAGAAGCATTCAAGCTATTTACATTATCTTTTTGTAAAGATTCAGAAGAATCAGTACCATTGTTCTGTTCTTCTGTTTGGGGATGCTGCAGATTCATATCCTTTAATGATTCCAACACAGCTTCCATGAACATCTAAAATTTATTGACAAGGGAAAACGGAAAAGTTGAAAATTTATGAGTGGGCCAGATGTGCAAGGGCACTCGACATGCACTGAATTTGGAAAATAGTAACTCACCCGTTCTTCCTCCTCTGCACTGCATGGAAAGCCTTCCAAGTCATCCAGTTCATATTCTACATATTGATCATCATCCATTTTTGTTGGAACATGTGGTCCATAAGGATTGCCATTTGATAATTCAAAGCTTATCATGTTTGATGATGATGAGCCATGATCATCACTTTCATCTTTATCCTGCAGTAAAATTAAACATCAATCAAGTTGTAAGTTATCTTTTAGTTGTCTGCTATAAGTTATTGTTTTCAGAAAGAGAGAGAAAAGAGTAAAACAGATTAACCAGAAGAGAGGGAAAGGCATTGTGATCCCATTGATCAGAGAGTACAAAGACTAACTTCTAAATTTCTAATACAAACACACTGCCCTTGGAACTAATCTAATGTGTAGGTGTGCTACATCACAAAAGTAATACACTCATGAAAGTTGCATCCCATGCCAATGTTACATCAGCAAAATCTAATGCTGTGTTGGCATGAAAAAACTACAAAGTAGCAATTAGCACAGAGGTAACATAGTGCATCCAATGCCCTCAGAGGTGTCAGCATACACAATGTGCTGACATGAAACAAGCCATGTTCTCATGAAATATTATAACTAGATACCACTTTTGTAACCCTTGTCAACACACATTTTTGCATTCATGTTAACTGTATTTTATTAGACCAGTTGAAATGAGTAGGGGAAACTAAATACAGAAATCTGGGATTTCCCTAAACAACAAAAGCAGGGAAATGACAAGGTACCTCAGATTCTGAACGATTATCTTTAGCCAGGATATCAGAAGGGACCTGAGTGCGGTCAAAAAATACATAACATTAGGATAGCCACCAAAAGATTATGAAGAAACTCAAGTAAATGTTGGAAATGCCTCAATGCTTCCATTTCTTTTCAAGGAAGCCATTCCAGGAAGGCCATGCAATTGAAAACTGAATGGCTTTCAAGTCAGTTCATCTTGTTCTTGTTCATCTATGATCCAAAGGCAGAGGAAAAGATCACAAAAGTTCTGTCCCTCACTTACATGATTTTGATTTGGCACGTTTACAAGAGTATAAATAAGGGCAATGATATAAACCTACTATAAAGAATGTTCAAATAAGTGTACTAGTGCTCCATTTTTCACATCAGATGCCTTTGTAACAAGCAGGAAAGAAATAACAACTCAACTAACCTCCATGCGACTCATAGGCCTTTTAGAACGAACTTCTTTAATGGCATCCACTGTGCTGCTTGCTCCTGGCTCTGCAACTAAAAATCAATCCATTAGACAAATAAAAGAAACTACCACACTGCATATAGCAGAACTTTAGATTAGGAAATTCATGCCTTTAGATGCAGTTGATGATGGAAGAAAACCAATGTCAGGCTCAGTCCAAGTACCCTGAAGTTAAAACATTTCAGTACTGGCAAATGGCTGTAAATATGAAATCTAGAACTATCAATAAAATTAAGAACCAAAAAGAATAGAAGATGTACTGGAGATCAATTACCTTACCAAAGTAATCCAGCATGGGTTCATAAAACGTTGGCCCCACCTCATCCTCAGGAGGTTGGAGAACATTGTGGAAAAAAATATTTAAGGAATCAAAGTAAAATTGAGGACGGGGAGAATTGTGATCTCCCTCAAATTTAATTATATTCTTGTCTCCCTGTGTAAATCATGCATCACAATACAATTCGTAAGCTGAAATGCAAGATTCTCAAGGAAACAGAAGGAAATATACCAAAAACAACAGAGCCTTGTAATAGGACAAGTTTTCCCCTCTTTTTTGTTTTCCCTTTTATTTTATTTTATTTATTTATTATTATTCTTTTTTTGGCCTTTTTGGGTTATGCCAGTTCATAAGGTATAAGCATAACTAGGAAAAAAACAAGTTCATAAAGAAAAAAGGTAATTTTCAGGTGGCAACTATCAATTTCCTAAAATGATTAAGGAAGTTATTAATTATGATTATGTTTTGTTCATTAAGGCGAGGACACCCAAAGATTTCTTCTGTGCCTTTTCTCCTGGCAACATAGTCTTTGCTTCCAGCAGCCAAAACTGCCCTCTATAAACCTTTTCTTCTCTTGTTTACATTTTAAACTGCAAGCACTCTTTCTATTGTCTTATCACAAACCCTAAAAACTCTAATTTTCTTAACTCTAAGCCCACCATAAAAGCTTGTGTAAGGAGTCCTTGAATCTGTACTGCATCAGAATGTAAGCCTGAAAATGAAGTGGAACTAGAGCTTGAAGCCTATAAACAAATAGAAACGGAACTAGAGCTTGAAGCCTATAAACAAATAGAAACTAAAGCAGGGGTTCTAAGATCTCTTGGCTTTGATATCATGTCAAAAATCCAAACCTTCTTACTTCCATATTTTTCCAATGCAGGATTCCATCCGTAAAACAACTTATCATAAAATTCAATCATTTACAAGAAAGAAGCTTACCACATAAGCTTCAAATATTTGATCTGAGTGATGAGGGCGTATGAAATCATCATCAATGGCATGCCCAAATAAAACTGGAACAAAGCAAGATTTTGCCAACTGTAATACAAATGAAAATAATAAAAGTGTCATAAATATGTAAATAACCATAAAAATTTATGATATACTATCTACACTACATGAAAAGATGTCTATTTCTGAAATAGATAAACTCGCTCCTTTTTTCTTGACATCTTTCTTTAACATTTGCATCATATCCACCAGAATCAACTTGAAATCTTTCTTGAATTCCTAGTTGTAAGAATTCATGAAAGAATAGAATAGACAGATGATCTATATAGTAAATGATCTACAGCATATCATATCCACCTGCTCCACCATTTAATCCATCTTACTCTCTCACCAAATGATATGGGAATGAATCATGTAAGAGCTATGATTGAATTTTCAGGTTCACTAACCAAGTTTGTCATGCCACATAATAAATACAAAATAACCACAAGATAATATGTTGAAGGAAATAAATTAACTACTGTATCATCACTCTCAAGTAAGACAGGCCCATTCCATATATACACTAAAAAGAATAAACAAGCAATTAAAGGAAACAACTTTCCTTACCAACAGATATACAAAGATCAACCAAAGACCTTTCCATAAATGGAAGCAGAATAGAAAACAACAAACACAAGGAAAAATCAAAAATGCCAGAACAGAACCTTAAGCGTGTTCAGGTCTGTTATGTCAAACTTTGCCTTCTTCTGGATAGCTTTTCTCATGTATTGAATTGCAAACTTAACCTACATAAACAAAACGAAGAAGTTAAAAGGTCAAACGACAGAAATAGTAGCCATGAGTCCATGACATGGAAAATCTTGAACAGAATATCTGAAGTCTTCAATTACCTCAGAAATGATCAAAAGAGCTTCGAAACATATCCCAAAAATGAATATTGCTTACTTGTCTTCAGTAGTTAGTATGAAAACCATCCACAACCACCAAATATATGTAGTGCTTGCTCTAACAAAGAAACCCAGAGACAAAGAAGGGTATGTGCTACCAAAACTAAAGATTTTCACCATTTAAAAGAACATATCCTAAAAAGGCATAGCAAAACATCCATGGCCTAAACATTTGGTTGGGAATAAAATAGTAGTTTCTTGTCCAATTTAACTATTTAAGTCATCAATATTACTGACTCTTCCCCCCTCTCCATTCATAGTGTTATAATTATATAGAAAGCAAAAGGGTAGACAACAGAATGTGTTGTTACTAAAATGTACTATGATGATGCATCTTACCGTGAACTTGGGTAAAGGGTATTTATAGGTGTCCACTAGTTCCATCATCAGGTCAACCAAATTTGAGAAGGGGCTGTCAAGAACCATTCCTGCAATTGAAGGATCCTCAGCTCCATACATCAAGCTGTAAGCAGTACTTAAATTGTTAATGTCACATAATAAACAGAATGGTCTTAGGCATGGAGTAGAGTAGCCATCTAAATGCAACAAAAAAACTATGATAGCAAAGTTTGAATACTTCATGAAAAAGTAAGAAGGGGGAATGAGAAGTGCATTAAGGTTTAGGAAGACCTGGTAACAGCACCCATTGACCGGCCCCATAAGCCAATCAAAGAAACATTTCCATTTGACCGCAAATAATCAACAACAGCCTTGAGATCATCCTTCTGAAAAACATGTAAACCACGTCACTTGGAAATTGATATGAGAAGTAAACACCAACAGGCATTTGTAATGCAATATAAAAATAACTCTACCATAGACAAGCAGGGCTTCTGGTGGACAATATCAGGACTATTAATTATAAAATGCATTAACCACTCTGGGAAAGAGAAGTGCAAGATTAATCTTCATGATGATTATTCAGACAAACACTATCCTACTTTCATTACAAGATTCATTTGACAAGAAAAGTTGATAGTACACCATCTGAAACCAAGTAGATCTAACATAAACCTATTAGTTAATAACTGTGTTTGATATTTGCAGTACTTAGTGCCTTTTTGAAAATGCTAGCAATATTTTATTCTTATTTGAGACTTCCATTTATCACAACTTCAAATAAATTCATCAAAATCAATCATTTGTTAAAAGGGTTAGTCAACCACTTACTAAAGCTGTGGAAAAACAAGTGAAAGGAAATCAAGAAAATAGACAATTCAATTCAATTAGTCAGTCAACCACTTACTTCATTCCAACCCAAAGTGACATGCTCTCCTCCAGATAAGCCAGACCCGGAAAAATCAAGGGCAAAAACTGTAATATTTGAATGCAGCAATATTATAGCAGCTTCACTAGCATCTGCTCTGCATCCACTACAAAAATAAAGATATATTGCTGTCAGCAATTGTGTAAAGAGAAGTAATGAAGATATCTATTTACATTATTTGCATGCTTTAACTTGGTCATCTGCCCATATAAAAGAGAGAAAGAGAGAATAACATTTAGCTGATTAGAACTGGTTTCTTGGAAGGGTAATCAGGGGGGAGGGGTGAGTTCTTCTCTCTCATTACAAGCTTAGTGTAGACAGTTCTGATATTTATAAACATAAAAGATCTTCCCTGAATCTGAATGCCATTGTCAAAGAAATCATCAGAAGTTTCTTAGTCACCTGTTCCCATGGCAGTAAATCACACAGGGCAAAGATTTTCCTTCAGGACTAGCAATAGGCATGTAATGGCTACACTGTAGAACATCTCCTCTACTGTTTTTAATCTGTAGAAAAGCCAAAAAGCATATAAATAAGGAAGTACAAACAAGTAAATTACAATTTCAGACAAGCACAAAACATGTATCCTCAGCTACAGAATGTGAAAAACATAATAGTCAAATGATGAAGGAAAAGGTTGCATAATGAATAGAACCAGGCTCACAACTATGGAGTTACAGGAAATTCTGACACCATGAACAACCATATCTAAGATGATTGACTAGAAGTTACAAAAAGGAGAGGAAGAAATTTAAATGGAGGACATCACAGAACCCAAGCCTTCAGTAAAGGAGGGAGATAGGCTCTTCTATAACCTGTTTTTAGATTTTAGAGGTTACTTGCACTTTGATGCCTCCACCTTTATAAATGAGATATATATAGTAGAACATAACATAAGGACACTGATCTGCAAGTAATGATCAATACTATTTGTTGGCTTTCTTTGCACACATATGCAGTTATATACAAGACAAGCATGGGCTTGGTATAAGAAACTTTTAAGGTATGCAAATATGTAGTTATCTATAAAAGATTGGAAGAGGAGATTTTTGACATGAATATATGTTTTCCAGTAGTTTTATGATTAGGTAATTAGCTTGTAATTAGATCCTAGATAAAAAAGAATTTCTAGTTACTTAGGTACCACATATTAGGACCTTACAAACTGGCTGGAAATTTTTTGTTAAATGTTAGAAGGAAGATTTCAGCTTAATTAAAATTGGATTTTGAACTCTGCTCTACATTTGGAAATACATCTGAAACAAACCACTTTCTTCTATATATTACCTATTCTAATAAACTACAAGCCGTGCCCTGCAAGAAAGTAATATTTGCTTCCCCAGCCTTGACTACTAATGTGCATCTCCAGAAAAAATTTCTTATTCCATAGCTTACTTTCCTATCTCAACTAAAATATCCAAGTATTTCTGGATTTATATTCTAATTTCAATCAGACATATTGTTGTTGTTTTAGTCTTGAGAACCTTAAATCTTTCAAACTATCCCAACAGTCAACTGATCAGGAATCCTACAATACATGTACCTGTTAGCCTATAGCAAATTTAAGCAAATAAGAAGTTTCAAACTTTGGTATGGTAAATTGAATTAGAAAATTATCTTTATGTTTATAATTTTCCCCAAGACCTAAAACCTTACCTGTATATCCTTTCTCTGATACCATTTCCCTCTCAACATGAACTCTTGCTCCAATAAATCATGTTCAGGATTGTATTCAGCTCTGCAACAAAAAAAAAAAAAAAAATTCATAGATTCATTACCACTTTCATCTGAGAAATGCATAGTTTGAAATTTTACAGAGAATTGAACCAATAAAACCAAATTAATTAAAGTTTCAAATCATTCACAGTCCAAATATCCTTTAGATGCGCCATTTACACTTTATCAATGTCCCACAATAGCTGCACATTCATTATCCACCAAGCATTAAAAAGCGAGAACACTAAACATATAATCCTAGTCTCCTAGAGCTTGGAAGAATAACACTAAATTTCCTTTTCCTATCTTTTAACGAATCTTCCAGCAAAGAGCCTTATTTTTTTTCAGAAGCTTTGATCTTTCCAGCCCTGTAAACCATTTTACGACAACTTATGCTACTGGGTTCTCTAACAAACTACAGAGCCATTAGTTTGGAAGTAACAGTTGCAACTTCAGAATTCGGTTGCCAACCTACAGATCTACCTATCAAATAAACCGGCTCAACAAAGCAATAAAGTTATGAGCAAAAAAAATTCAAAGATTCAGCAAATCCAGTAGCAAACCAAGCAAAATTTGGGCTAGAATATCAAACCATCAAAATAAAATTTTGAAACATCACAAACTGCCAATAGCTAACTGGCTCAAACTCACATCAACCAAAACAAAATAACGAAATCCACTCTGCTTGTTAAGAAATCTAATCGGCATAAAACACACTAATATAACCTCAAATATCAAATCCAATACCCATGTTAAACAAAGTAGTCTCTTTTAAGAAAAGGGTTCCATTTTCTAGCCACCCATATAACAAAAACACTTTCCTCTTCCCAATTTTCCTATTCAACAAACAGCACACAAATTTTTCTTTTCTTTTTTTAAAACATGAACAAATTCGAAGAATGAAAAAGAACCCTGATCACGGATTTAGGAATTAGAAGCTATGGAACCATGATTACCTGGGTGGGCGTATGATGAAGCTGATGAGCTGATCCATGATTCAGAACGATCACTTACGCTTTCCTTTTTCCCCTGTTCAGCTATAAACAACAATTGTTTACGGACAGAAACAGGACAAAAAGACAGCGAAGCTTCTCTCGATGTAGCGAGGAAG